TTCAGCAGGCCACTCATCCTTCGGATGGGCCTTGGAGGTCTGGACGGTCCCTTAGGGACTCTTTCCACCAGCTCCTCCTTTGCAGATTCTGCAATCTTGTGGACTGCATCCAAAAGTCTGCGGCGCTGCCCTTTGTTCAGCACCTCGCTCTCTTCGTTCATGTCGGTGGTCAGCACCATATGTCGCTCTGCGACTTCATCGTCTTGGCAAGAGGTGGAAGATCCATCGCTGTCCTCCAGGTCAAACCCTGGATCGTGAGAAGTTTCACTCTCACCTTCGCTAATGGATCCTTCGCTGTCGGTGCTTTGCTCTTCTCGCGATAGGCTGGATACCAGTGCATTCGGCGGCAGCCGGCAAAGTACCTCATCCAACTGATGGATGGCCTGAGTCTCCAACTCACTCTGCCAATCGGCCAAAGCAATGGCCTCCAAGCCTTCTTCCAGGTCCAGCGGGACCAGATCAATCTCCCGGGGAGCCTCCCCGTCATGTTCTTCCGCAACCTCCTCCAGGTGCTGCTGCATCAGTGCCAGGCTGTATGGATCGGCTATCAGCCGTTGCTTCAGCTCCATCAGGGCAGGCGTTTGCCACTCCTTGATGCTATGACCTGGCTCCAACACTGGAAGGATTGGATGTCGTGTGTTGGACAGCACCATCGGCAGTCGCCGGTCTGCGATACTCATCGTTTTATCGCCGAAGTTGAAGGTGGCATTCCAACGTGCCAGCTCACTTGGTCCGACCAGAGCTGGGCACAAATCCACTCGGGAATCCTGTGGCGTGTTGCCCACCACAGCTAGGCGCAGCCAGCTTTGGATTCCAGTCGCACCCAAGGTGATGGGGTAGATTACTGCTTCTGTTGAAACTACGGGATCCCCAGCACCGAACCGGAAAACTTCCTCATGGGTCACCTTCTCCCATGGCAAACCAAGCTCTTGTAGTTCTGCTTGGAACCTTCGGTGCCAGGCTGCTCCGGCCACTGCCGTGCGACATCCGGTGTCCAAGATGACATTCATTGATCCTCCTTCCAACATCCACACCTCTGGAGGTGCTTCGTTTGCCACCAGTGCTCCGTGCTCGTTGGAATAGTATAACACCCTCTTGAGGTGACACTTCCGGCACGTCGCCCAGTGAGCTGATCCATTTGCACCCCACCTGAGGTCAGGCCACTCATGATGGCACTCCTCCTGGACTGATGTCGGAAAATCCGACGCTTCACTGGGACGCACTCGTCCTTTTCTGTCCAAGCTGTTTTCATATAGCTGTCGACGGAACTCCGCCAGCTTCTTCCTGCGTACTGCTTCAGGCATCTCCTGAGGCGGTGCTGCCGGCGCAGCCGACGAGCTCGCAGCAGCACTCGGTCGAGGCTTCGGCGCAGCCGTGTAGCCTGCGTGCTTCTTCGAGGGTCTTTTCATCTTGTCCCCGGTTGCCTCCGGGTCAAGATACTTGGCAGCCTCCAATTCCTGTTCTTTCTTGAGCTCCTTGTAGAGCGTCTTCTTCTCTGTCTTGGTCAGATGGGGTAACATCTGAAGCATCTCCGCTGATGTCACCTCCGTTTCCATGGGGCTTCTTCCGCGACCGCTCCCCTTTCGGAGTCGCTCAGCTGCTTCCCTGGCAGCTTTATACTCTTTCTTCTTCAGCCGCTTCTGCAGTTCGTCATCGTCCGTCTCCGCGGCTAGGGCCTCCAAGACAGTCTTCAGCGCAACCTTGAAGGTCTTCTTCTTGGGGCGTGCCGGGGACTCTCCTGCGGGCGCAGCCGCCAACGCCATTGCGGCTGCTGCCAGTTCATCTTCTCCTGAGCTACTGCTTTCACTCCCGGAGGGACTATCATAGTTCTGAACCAGATCCCATCCGCCAACCATGAACGTCCAATTCACTCGATGGACTTGGGCCTCCTGACGGCTCTGCCGGCTGATGGGCTCTTCCTCTCCGGTGTTGAAGTGGGTGCCCGAGCTCGATTGTGCTTCTCGGGGAGGGTCTTGCCCTGAGCGTACATTTGGGCATTCAGGGTCACCATGCCAGTGGCCCTTCTGCTTGCAAGAGCTGCAGCGGCTGTTTCGCTTTCGTTCATCAGGAGTCCTGTTGTCTGCAGGACGGGCCTTACCTTTCTTGTCCTTGCCACTGCCCTTGCTTCCAGACTTTCCTCCTCGATATCCTCTGCCCAATCGCTGCTCGGCAGACTTGCTCTTGGCTTTCCAGCCTGCGGCATAAGCCTCTCGCAAGTCGTCCATCTCACCCCATTCGGAGTTCTCATAGTATTCTTCGTCCCATCCGCGATCTCTGTCGTCCTCGGCCCAGCCGGAATCCTCTTCATAGTAGCTGCCCTCATCTGCATTCAGGGCTTCCATCTCCAGATCCTCATTATCGGGATCATCCTCCTCATCGTCATCATCGAAGTCCTCCTCCTGGGACTCCTCGTTGCCGGCCACATTGGCAGTGTGGCGAGTGGGCCTGTACGGCTTGCTGCGATCAGACCTCTTGGGAAACTGCCGGGGCCTCTTCTTGTAGTTGGACCTTCGACGGTCTTCATCCCGGTCTCCTCTGCTTCGGTAGTCCGATCGCTTCTCATCCACGTGAACTTGACTGCAACGGAAGCGGAGGACCCTTTCGATATCATGGGTCTGATATCTTCCGCCCGCTGAAAAAAAGACGTCCATCCTTTCGCGTTTTGTCAATCCCGCCCTGCTCAGCAGCCGCTGGGCGAACGACTTGTCGCTCAGGACGGTACCTGGGTCTTCGCGCAAGTACTCATTGCGCAATCTCTTCAGCGTGGAGATGTATTCGCTGATGGACATACCCGGAGTTCGTCGGAACACATGGAAAGCGGTCTGGCGCTCCTCGAACCTCTCGTCTGAGCGAGCGCCAAACGACTCCTCCAGAAGTCGCATGACTCGCTGCAGACCGCCTTCCTCCCGCATCTCGGCTATGTCCAGCTGATCCAGAATGGCCCTCGCTTCGCCCTGAGTTGATAAGTACACCAACATGGCAACTTCTGGATCGCTCAGCTGGTACAAGGACCTTTGCGCCTCCAAAGTGCGCTTCCAGGTCTGGTATTGTGACCGAGAACCTCGGAAGGGTTCCAGCCGCACCTGGGACAGAGAGGGCTTTCCTCTTGAGTCGTCCCGCCTGCTGTACTGGGCCAGCATCTCTTTGACTTCCGCCGTACGGGCTGTCGAAACTTCGGAGGCCGACCTATCATCCCTGCTTGGGGCCACACTGCCAGCGCCATCGTCATCACCCGGCGGATCTCCATCATGGCGATCCCTTCGTCGGCGCCTGGGTGGCGCAGGAGGTGGTGGCACCACCGGCTGTCGTTCCGGCCTGCGGGGAGCTTCCCTCAACTCGGGTCCAGGACGCCGCCTGTCACGGTCATCACGGCGATCATGCCGATCTGCCCTTCTTTCACCCCGACGATCGGGTCCTTCATGCCGGGAGCCTCCGGCTGCACTCCGATCCGTTACCGTCACCGTGGGATCATTGGTCTGCCGCTCAGACTCTGGCCCTTCTTGGCCTTCATCACTGTAAGTATAGGTGTACTCTGAGTCGTCATCCCAATCGGGGTCACCATCTGGAGGTAGAGGTGGATCGGGCGCAGCCCGGCTCTTCTTCTTTGGGTTCTTGTGGGTATCTGTTGGTGAATCCTCCTTCTTCACCTTCGACCCTCTGGCAGGCGCCGCCTGCTCAGGCGGCTTGCTAGATTCCGCTGTCTCCCTAGGAGGCTTCTTCTCACGATCCTTTGGCTCCGGCGCTTCCTTCTTCACCGGCTTCGGCAGCGGCCGTGGAGGTGGGCGTTCCCGTGGTGGAGAGGCAAGACCTCTTGCCTTTGGCGGCGGGCCCAATGGTTCCGGAGGCCGTGGAGCACCCACCGAGCTCGGGGGTTCCCTTGGTGTGGACCATTCAGATGTCCCATCGTCCATGGGCCTCGCACCGGAAACACCCTGTAGGGCTCTTCTCATCTCCTCCGAGATGGTCTGCCTCAACTCCTGCTGGAGATCTTGGCGGATTTCTCGGCGAAGCCGGTCTTCCATTTCTTGTCTGCTTTCACCGCCCTTGTTCTTACCTTTGCCGCCTTTACCTTTGGACCCCTTCTTACCCTTCTTTCCTTTTCCTTTGCTACTTTCGCGGGATCCTTGTCCCTTCTCGGGGCGCCGCCCTCGGGACTGGTCATCATCTCGGCGGCCTTTTCCTTTGTCACGACCTTGCTTGGTCTTTCCTTTGGGCTCATCTCGTCGTGGAGCTCCTTCTTCTGGACCGGCACTTCCAGTCCTCCCGGCTCTGCCGGTATCTGCGGCGCGGCCGCCATCTGGGAGAGGCTCTGCCCGCCTTTCCTCCCTTTTGAGTCCGGCTCGGCCGGAACTGGAGGAAGCCTCCTCCTCCGAAGCCGAAGAGCTTCGTTCAGCCCCAGTCATGGGGCTCCGCTACCAATGCGGAGCGCTGGGTAGCGTCAGCGACAAAGGCTAAAGGTCAAGAGGCAGCGGCCTGTTTTCTCAGAAGCGTCTGGTGCAAATGCGAAAAGCTATTACTTGGGCCAAGCTGTACAAACGGCCACGGCAAAAGAAATAGGTGAAAATGCTAGCAGACAAAAACATGCATGTATGCCACCATGCCAAACCACTCACCATGTTTCACAACGGGAACCCCAAAAAGCTGCAAGAAAATGTCCAATTTCACATGATTTTGCATAATTTTACATGTTTATCTTTTTGGGGGTTGCTACACCATCCCCTCAAATTGCGGGGCAAGCCATTCTGCCCTGGGGTGATTCTCAGGGCCTATGTTAGCTGGGAGGATGCAAAAAAGGATAGAAGTCAACTCCGGGGAAAAATACTGAAAACGAGTGCAAATGAGCAAGATCCAGTGATATACATCCCATAATACTTTTCAAATGCATGGAGGTGTTCTAAAATGGGGGTACCCCAAATCATTGAGGATTTTCCATGACGATCCAGCTATCAGGGTACCCCATGACCATGAACCCCCTAGAGGCTTGACCCCTGCCAGGGCGCCAACAGTCGAGGCTGATCTCGAGGCTGTAAAGGCTCACTCAATTCACCCCTGGGGATTCCATGGAAGCTGTGAGGGAGGCGTATCCCTGGAGATATTTTGCAAACTGAATTCGCCATTTACCTACTTACCGGCCCAGTCATGTATGGCTTAGGAGGTAAAAAGTGGTAATGAATATAATTAGCGGTCTGATAGAAACTGTGGACGACCCAAACCTCGAGGCATGGTTGAACAAATTACTCAGATGTACTCCGACAAGCGGATGGTTTAGCAATACCAATTCACTACATTCAGCACTCAATGGTATGCACAACAAAAAATAAGAATATTGAATAATTAGATATCAATATGATATAATTAGATATAATTAGTAAATCAGCAATGTTCAGTACTTTTTCCACGCAAAACAATGCGTGGCAGTTCACAGTTCCCCAAACCTCGCTGGAAGGGATGGAGTCTTTCGGTCAGCAGGAAGACCATCCTGGCTGATTTTCGTTGAGAAAATCTGCAATTGATATTGGAATCTAATGGGATTTATATATGGCTTTTTAGTTTATGTCAATTGATATCAATTATATGGTCTTATTAAGTATAGTAACTAATCCCTTATCATCTTCGGAAAAATGAAGAAGAATCCCAGTTCATGGATTCTGATGATCCCCACCATCCACCCAATACCATGTACTTCCAGATGGGACATGGCTTCTGTTTGCCGCATGTATCTACCTTCGGTTTGCTTGTGTGCTTTGATACATCACAGTGGATTGAACAGAGTACATTCGGAGTCAACATATTCTCCAAAAATGAGTCGGTCAACATTCTTTTTTTGGACTGCAGCAACCCTTTCATTTGCATAGACGAAGACTTTGTCCCTAACGACCTCGCCCTCCAGCCATAGCCGCCATTGCCCCTGGCCCTCGGCCTTCTCCAACTCTCGAATTTTTTGGTCTAGTTGTCGCAGGAGCTGGGTGTGGCTTTCTACCAAGGAGAGCCGGAAGAGTGACAGGCTCTTGGCGACGAGTCCTGGCGATGATCCTGGCAAATCCATGGGAATCACATGGGCCAACGTTCAGTTTGTGCAGGAAATTCAATCTAAAGTCAATGGATGAATGGATGTCAATCGATCACTCACAGGAATATTTGGAATCATTTCTCGTCCGCACCGAAGTGGCTGCACACGTCGCCCGCCTCGGGGAGAAGTAGATGGTGGAGTATGACAGGTGCTGAAGCCCATTAAGCTGTGGGAGCTTTCTGGAGAGCCCGCAGTCCTTGCTCGCGGCCTCAGTGCACCATGACCATGATCACCATGACCATGATCATCATGATCTGATCAGCTACTGATGGCGGCTACTGTATGGCTACTGTATGGCTACTGTATATCTCTCGATCAAAAGGGAATTTACGCAATGTTACTGTCTGTGTTGGAAAAAACTATCCTACCCTTTGTGACAAGCGCATCCCTCTCGATGAGTATGTGAAACCCCAGCTATACGGACGATCATTTGTCATCCCCAAGAAATGCATCGAAAAGGGGATTGGGATTCCTTGCGCAGCTTGAAGATGGACTACTTACGCACCCGACAAGTTGACTCGCTTATGCACCTCAAAAATGAATCACTTACACAGCTACATATTAGGGGATGTCCATTCACCACACAATCAGCATTTAGGCCTTGGACTAGGAGTGGGGATGAATATACAAGGCTATAATGCACAATACACTCAATACACTCAATACACTCAATACACTCAATACACTCAATACACTCAATACACTCAATACACAATTCTACCTATATGGGCATGGATCCAAATCAAAGATCCCCCACTTACAGAGTTGCTCTGGTGTGTGAGCTATCTCTGGGTACCCTGGGGGTATGGGTTTGTAAATTTGCTACCTCCATGTCTCCCACTTGAAGGGAGACATTGGCAAACAAAACTACAAAAAGGTCGTTTCCAGCAGGTGGGTGTGGATTAAAATTGCGGTACCCAATCTTGAGGGGTGGTAAATTTCAAAACACATGACCAGTCCATCTGTGCTCTGGATCTTATTTGAGTGACGCCCAGGTCTTTCATCTCGCCAGGCAACACATGGAGCATCTCAGGTGCATCGCTTCCGGAAAGTCGCGCCAGTGCCATGTTCGTTCACACAGCGGCGTGCGGTCCCTTTAGGAGCGCACAGAAGAGGAGAACGTCTGCACCAACCCGAAAATTGTTTTTGGTGGATATGCTACTGGCAAGAAGCTCAACTGCGCTGTGATGCGAAGTAAGCCAGTGCGTTGGGTCATGTTGGCACTTGCTGATGTCTGGCAGATCTCCAAAATCTACCCTGGGAAGCCTGGGAAGGCCAAAGAATGCAGCCACCGTTCACTAGCACAATGACTTTAGCTGTAGCTGAGAAACCAAATAATACACAGCTATTGATTAAGAATCCTGATGGAAGGCAGAGTAAAATGTCCCATACCCAGACCAGTAGATTGGATTGGCAGGTAGCATTTTCATAGCAGATTAGCAGTTTCCAGGGAAGACCCTATAAGATTCCCAGGCTTTTCCGTTGTCAGAGGATGTCAGACACGTTCGACCCTTGATGGATTGTATCAGGACCTCTTTTTTCAAGCGAAATCGGTGCCCACCACTCCATGGGGCCTGGCAGACGACCGCAAATAAAAAGATACGGATTATTATGGATTGCCAAGTATTGCCATGTAGCTAAAACATGCTAAAACAACAAAAGACACTCATGAATACCAAACGCTTTATATTCATGTATATTGTATGTCAAGTTTGGTAAACCTTGGGGGTGGTCAATCATTCAAAAGTCTGGATGAAGGGTTTTCTACCTTCTCAACGGTATGTGCCTGTCTCAACCCTCATCCCTGTATCAAAGGTGCTTTCTTTTCCCCCTCCTCAAAGGTCCTGGTTTCCCAACCGTATTCCTGGAAAACTTTCCCATATTCGAAGGATTTCTCAGGGCCAAGTGTTTTCCCACAGTGAAGGCTCGCGCTCAAGGCTGCAAAAAAAATATATATATATAAAATAAAATCCCGGAGACAAACCCATACCCCGGGGAAGAACACTTGCGACCGAACATTGCAAATATGCATAAAACATGCTATGTGTTTTTCTCAATGGTATGTGCCCGTCTTATGTGTTTTTTTTTCCTTGTTTTTTCCCTCCCCGGAGGTCCCGGAGAGGAACCCTTGGAATTTCTTCACCCGGAGGTCCCGTAGAGGAACCCTTGAAACCCTTTTGCTCGTTTTTTTTCTCTTCGTCGTTTTTCGTCGTCCGTCGTGTTTCAATGGGGATCCTTGAGACAGACACTTGACCTGAGCAAGACCACAAGCGAGAAAGTATCTTGGCGCAGACCTTCATGAGGGAGATTTGATCCACGGCTAAATGGCCATTGTCTTGTTGCAAATCTGGGTGGTAGTGGGAAAGCGCTGGTCCAAGGAAGCTTTGAAGGTGTAGTGGGGACACGATATGGCTCAAATCACCCCAATTTTTTTAATGGCTCGGTGTCAAAAAAAATCTGCGGATCTCTTGTTCGTAAATTTGAGAGCATGGCCAACTTGTCTCCGATAAGAACAAGAACCAGCCAAGAATGCCAAGATCCAACTCAAAACTTTGGCTTGACAACTCCTCGCGCAAGGCCTGCACAAGGCCTCCGCAGCATTTATTTCAGGTGCGGCCAGTTCCTGCTGGAGATGACACAAACTTTGCTTCACGGCCAATTCATCCCTCAAAAAAAGGGACACCGAAGGTGCTCCAAAGCCATCCTCTTGGCTACCGAAACCTCGACCTATCATGAGCCAACAAAACCAAGGCCCCCTGTGCAGCTCAGTAGTTGTGTTCTGAGTTTGCCCACTCGTTGCTTTTCTGGGAGATTGATTTTCTTGGATTCCGTTGGTCTTTCTCATAAATAGGAATACCCCCAAAATGATCCAAAATCAAACTGTTTTAGTATTGAACCCCTAGGGCTTAGGGGTGCCCTCCATCTTGGGAAATACCGACTTGCAAATCCCCAGTCACCATCTCTCACTAGATCTCACTAGTCCTTTGCACCTTCACCAACCAGGTGTCCTGCACTAGCATCTTGTAGCTATGGACACGTGAGCCATGGTCAATACTCACTATATGGTTGATGGTCATCCCATCCATAATAAGGATCCTTATAATGGTTATTATAAATCCCTATGAACCATTGGATGACTAGCCCCTATTAATGGTTACCAGTAGTACCGCACAAGGCGGTGGCGGAAGTTTCAAAAATAGGAAACCTATAGGAGAAGTTGGTTGTTGCGAATCAGGGATGGCAGAGCGAAGCCACTGATTGACCGAAAGGTGCTTGGAGTTGTGTTTGCTGGAATGGTTGCAATGGTTGCAGTGGTCACCTCACCCACAACTGCTGGATGTAGTGTGATGTACTGCAACTGTAGTTGTAGTTGTAGCGTAGTGGAGTTGTAGTTGTGGTGTAATGTAATTAGTGTAGTGTAGTTGCAGTCATATGGTTGTAGCTGTAGTTGTTTTGTAGTTGTAGTTGTAGTTGTTGTAGTTGTAGTTGTTGTGTGGTTGTAGTTGTTGTGTAGTAGTGTAGTAGTAGTAGTTGTTGTTGTTGTTGTTGTTGTAGTTGCTGTTGTAGTTGTAGTTGTTGTTGTTGTTGTTGTTGTAGCTGTAGTTGTTGTAGTTATAGTTCTAGTTGTAGTTGTAGTTGTTGTGTAGTTGTAGTTGTAGTTGTAGTTGTAGTAGTAGTTGTTGTTGTTGTTGCTGTTGCTGTTGCTGTGGCTGTTGTTGTTGTTGCTGTTGTTGTTGTTGCTGTTGTTGTTGTAGCTGTTGTAGCTGTTGTAGCTGTTGTAGTTGTAGTTCTAGTTGTAGTTCTAGTTGTAGTTCTAGTTGTAGTTGTTGTGTAGTTCTTGTAGTTGTAGTTGTAGTTGTTGTTGTTGTGGTTGGTGTTGTTGTTGTTGTTGCTGTTGCTGTTGCTGTTGCTGTTGCTGTTGTCGTCGAAGTTAGGGTAGTTAAGTTAGTGAAGTTAGTTAAGTTAGTCAAGTTAGTTAAGTTAATCAGTGTCTACTTTTTCGACATCTTCACGTCAAAAAAGGCTCAAAACCCTCAGTTTTTACACTTTTGACTTCGAAATGTGCTTCGCGCCACAACGGCGTGCACTTTTTCGACACTTTTTCGACATCTGAACCTCCAAAAGTGGTCCGAGACCGTCAGTTTTTAACACTTTTGACTTGGAAATGTGCTTCGCGCCACAACGGCGTGCACTTTTTCGACATCTCAACTTCCAAAAGTGGTCCGAGGTTGCGGTGTTTTGTACATTTTGACTTGGAAATGTGCTTCGCGCCACAACGGCGTGCACTTTTTCAACATCTCAACTTCCAAAAGTGGTCCGACCTGGTGTGTTTTGTACATTTTGACTTCAAAATGTGCTTCGCGCCACAACGGCGTGCACTTTTTCGACATCTCAACTTCCAAAAGTGGTCCGATCCTCTAGTGTTTTGTCCATTTTGACTTGGAAATGTGCTTCGCGCCACAACGGCGTGCACTTTTTCATGTCTCATCTGGCCAGCTGGCTCCGCACCCGCCGCTTTAGCGAGCCTACTTTTCGACCCTCCGGAGCCACAAATCATTGGAAAAACACAGTGAATCGCGACTTTCCTACCTTTTCGCGCATCTGCATCTTCTTTCTTCTGATCTTGTCTCTTCTGACTCTTCTCACCTCTGCTTTTCAACTGTCCATATTGTCGGAAGTTTCACTTCTAAACTTCCTTCGATTAACCATGAGTATTGACCACAGCTCACGTGGACAAATCGTCCAATCCATCCCCTGACGCCTGGTGTGGAGGTAGATTCGATTTGTGAGCCACGCCATAGGTATCACACCTCGATAGCTCATTCGCCTCGCCACATCCCCAAGGGCCATAGCGAAGCCATAGGCATCCGATTGTACGCAGGTTTATTGCTTCTTTATGTTCTTTATATATCGTAGATCAAATAATAACCAGAACACAAGAATCATAAATCATAATAGTTGTCAATAATAACAATAATGATATCATGCGTAATTGTATATATATAATATCTATATAATACTCATAAACTTGGGCAAAGGTCACATGCCCTTTCTGCATTCGCTTTGCGACATGGCCTGATTCCTTCCTTCTCATCCGGCATCAGCCCGAACTTTTTCGCCACCGTGGCCTGCCGAAGTCGAGCCCTGTGACGGTCAGTTCTCAAGGTGATATCGAAAACACTTTATTTATAACTTATATATATATAACTATATAACTAGTAACATGCAGTATAAATTAGGATGATTGATACTACAAATCCAAAATCTGAATTGACATATTACTAATATTTACTAATATCAATTTCTATCCATTTCTTGGTTTGTTGCTCCTCTCATGATTCTCATGATTAACTATCACATTATCATCTGTTCTGGGCTCGTTTGAGGTCGCAATAAAAATGATCCTAGTCACATTGCTCTGAACAACGAAACAAGCGGGACTCTGGGCATCCCAGCAACTTTGTACAGTATTCATGTAGAAAAAACAATAAAACACAACTGCTACTTGATGCTATACTGGCAAAACTTGATACTGCTACTTGTAGATCATCAGACTAGTTGCCATTAGTTGCTAGTTGTCAAGTCGAATCCGTTCCAAATCAATACCCATTGACCGCTCTGCCTTGTACTTGGGATCTTCGTACTCAATCCTTAAGACCTGCACGGCGCCAGGTCTCGGGAGTGCAAACGGAATCGGCAACCAGAAATGACAGGTCTTCTTCTACTGTGACATAGAGAAACAACATGCATCCATAAAATATATACATGTCTAATTACATAATGGATGTATACATATAATATATATATAATGTACATATTGTGTATATATATATACTGTATATATATGTCTATATATGGATATATATATATAATATGGATATATATATAATATGGATATATATAATATGGATATATATATATAATATGGATATATATATAATATGGATATATATGTATATATATACATACAAAATATATATATAGTTATATATATAATTACATATATATATAGAGAGAGAGTACTATTCTATAGAGTGTCGTTGCATCGTCAACTATCATGTGTAGTCGATTCACAATATGTCATGTTAAATGACATGGCGTTGATATTTTAGTTCATGCGAGTATGGTTGTATCATTAAAAAAACAAAGTTATTTTCCACAAGGCCAATGACGATCAAAGGCAGCTCAGCTGCCTTTGACTGAGTGGAAAAGCTGTCGACCGTTTCAGTGGTGGCTTGCACGGCCTGGGTCTGAGGACACTGGCTGGTCGTGAGTAGCTTGGCTCTGGTTAGTTATGGTTGGTTTCTTCTAATTCAAATGAATCCAAACACATTGTTATGGTTGGGCTTGTCCAATTCACAAAAAATAGAGAAAAAAACATCCAACAACATCCAACAACTATCAAAAACATTGCAACTACAAGGGATATCACTGGGTCGTGAATTTGCTCCACTGCTTTGGCCACGAAAACGCCCCGACTGGGATCGACTGGGGCTTCTTCTGCGCTGATTTGGGCAGTGAGGTAGTCATCAAAGGCCTCCGGCACTAAACACTGCGTGACGGCAAAGAAACATGGTTTCCACAGCATTGTAGTTGAACCAAATGCGCATTGAATTTCACGAGACTGCTTGAATTTCTTGTATCTACATTACAGTGCTTGTCCTTCAAGAATCTTCAAGAGAGAAAAGCCCCAAGTCTGGCCTTGGCAGATACCAGGTGAGACAAGTCCTCCAAAACAGACAGTACAAGTCAATTCTGTTTCAGTGGCGCGATTTCATGGTTTCCACAGAGCGGAAATGAGGTCCTGCTTGCTCCAATCCACCATGACATCATTGAGCTTGATTTTCCTAAGACTCTCCGCTGATCTGCAGAAGCTGCTAGGCATCTGACATGTCTCTCTTGCGGAATGGCTTCAGGTTTTGATTGGTGGCAGTCGCAGGTTCGCAGCAAGTCACCACTCTCAGACAATAGAAAAGATGAAAATAGTCAAAACATGTCAAAACATGTCAAAACCTATGGGAAGCAAGAGGACAAAGCAAAGAAGGAATGGCAGAATGACAATGACAATAGGGTGGTGTAACTTCCTCTTGCGCATTCTCCTGCCAATTGTAAAAATGGGATTCCGAAAGGCTCAGATTTCCGGAAACATCCTAGCTCAGCCACCCACCCGAGGTGGCCCTTGAAGAATTGACCTTGGAGGCGTGAATAAAGCGACCAGTTCATCAACCAGTTCTGCATGGGAACTTAAGAGCTCCTTGTGGCATCGACTAAACAACAATTACAATAAGGATCAATAAGGTGGCCGTCAAGAAACTTCTAAACATAGTTTTATTTGTTTCCACCCTTGCGTCAAGAAATGTTAAGAATCTAGCTACACAGGTTGACCGGCAACACATTCACAGCAGCGCTTCAACACATTGACAGCAGCACTGCACTACATTTACTCTGCCCAGCAAATCAGAGAAGTGAACTGAGAAGTGGTTTGAATATGTTCCAACATGTTCCAACCATTTGAATCCCAAGTTGGCCACTTGGGATTATCATCAGAAACCACCGACTTAGCACCGACTTTGGCGCGGATAAACCTGCCTCCCGAAACTCCTCCTTCTTCTCCAAAGGTGAAGGATCTGCTGATTTCGGGTCTGGCCGGGAAGGTGATGAACCATTGATGAACCATTGGATGTGTTTTGTACGCGAACTGTTCTGACAAACCCTTGTAGTACTGGGCCTAGTATACTTAGTTCAGCCATGTTCAGCCTGGAATGCCCTGGTTTTCACACCAAAGTGCTCGATCTTCGATGATGCCAAATGTTCGCCATCCCCATAAGATGGTGCCAGAGGAATTGACCCATCCATATGCCGGGTATCTTCCAGGCCCAAGGGTTTTCACAAGGCGAGGAGTGCAACCAGCCCGGCCAAATGCCTGATGCAATGGCGATGTTTCCGGATATCAGGTCTCCTCATGTACTCATCCCAGTATGCAACCTGCGAGTTGGGGAGTTGCGTCGGACTGAGACGCAGAATTCGATTGGACGCAAACGCCTAGCTTCAGGGTTTCTGGCAACACTGGCAGTGATAAAGAGTGTATATTCCACCAAAATCATCCAAAATCCACGACAGTGTCTGACTCTGTTAAGGATCTTTCCAAGGCCGCATCTGCCAATACTCATCTGTTTGGTGGCGCAGAGGAGCGTCGTTTTTTAACAAGAGAGCGCCAAGACACACTACTTCGATATTTCAGCAAGAATCTGGGACCCCAAGAACCTACCAACAGGATCTATGGAATGAACTGCAGAAAAAAGAAATTGGGGATCACAATTTGTCGTCGAAAAACCGGACTGGTGACAAGTCCCACAATATGCGGGAACATTGCAACGTGTTCAACCTGGCGACATGCACGTGGAGCTCTTAGAGGTGTTGAACCATCTCGGGTCTTGTCAACTACTTGGTACCTTGAGGGCTGGAAGCTTTTGAGGAACAAAGACTTGGAAGACACCAGTCATGGTACATTATGGCATCATGGTAAGTGCAAGAATTTTCTGGCGCTTTGCTGCCGGCTTTTGCCCATGTGATGAAATATATTTCAACACCTCATGGCCAAAAAGCAGGGGACGCAAGCAGCGCACCAGCTGGCATCTGCGCACACACACACACAACTGCTTCGGTAAAGTCACCAGGATTAATGCTTCTGAAAAGCATTCCTCTATGGATCTTTGTGTCTACTTCTGCCACGTTCAAGATACCGCATTCCCTTAAATCTAGCATTAGCATGAATTAGCAACTCTACTATCCCAAACTATTCGGGTTGCATAGACAATTAATCATGGCGCATAAGTCGTGCTCGCGCTGTCCTACCGTCCCGGCGTTCAAAGAAACCTCTCGTTCCTTCAAACTAGAAAAGCTTTCTGAAGGTCTTCCATTGCAATCTTCGATCGCACTCAAAAAGGAATTCCGCCACAAAAAGCCAAAAAGCTGAAGCATTCCTCACCAGCTTCCCCATTTGGGGTAATGGGAGAAATGTCGGGGGATTTGAGGTAATATTTGGGAGAAATGTCAGGGGATCATGTGCAGCCAACTTTGGGGCTTTGCATGAGCTTTAAAAACTGCTCCCAGCTAATCCGCTCACTTTGACTCACTTCGGCCAAGGATTCGCGGCAAACTCCTGTCGAGATGGGAGAGGTTGCTGCTCTTGATATGGGTAGCGCCAAAACCTCAAAGCGTTCATTCTGATTTGTCTGAAGATTGGGTACCCCAAAAACATGTTGCTTAATTTTCAATTTCCCAATTAAAATTGCTTATTTGGGTACAGTACCCCCCGCATTTTCAGACATACCTGTTGCCATTGACAACTTCATTCTTCATTACACTTCTGGCAAACAGTTCTTCGGAGGTGCCCACACTTGTTGAGTCAGAAGAGGACAATGCGAATGTTGACTCCTCCAAGAATGACATTGCCCTGGCTCAAAAAGCAGAACCAAACAAATATATAGCTATAGGTATATATATATATATATGATATGTGTGTATAATTATATATACTGTAATTAATCCCAAACTGGTTGGTTCAGCAGTTCACTACGCAACAATGACTCACCGTATCCCAAACGGTTCCCGGTTCCCCTTTTAGTTGTTTCAGCACCTCGATGATCTTCTCCAGCCATAAAGGCCTGGCATGATGGCGGATTTCCAGGAGGATTTACCCCAAATCCCCCCAAGTTATGGTCAGTTGAGTGGGGAAAATGATGAAATGATGATAAACCCAACTATCTTACTCTCCGAAAAAAACATTAGGGCCACATATAGCTGTGCTGGAAAAAACAGCAGGGTGGCCCTAAAATGGCTTATCATGGGGTTGTGGGGACCCAGGATGACATAGGGCCATAGGGGTTTTTGGAGAGCCATCCTCCCACCAAGCAGATTTGGGGGATCCCGGCACCTGAGATAAGTCTGATGCATCGATAAAGCCATCGCCGTTGCGATCGACCATCTCGAAAACTCCTCAGAAAAGGCGTCTCAGCCATTGGCTTGGTGGCGTCCGCCCGTCCAACAACGGGTAATTTGATTCATCACTTATCCCAAATTAAGAGAATATGATATGCATTGATATGCTTCAAAAGAATACCTGAGCGGTGTTCAAAACTTCAATTAAAACTGAATGGAAATTATTCATCCTTGCGCGAAATCCTTGCGCCATCCTTGCGCGATCCTTGCGCGACCACAATGGGAGCTTGCGCGTGGTCAATTTTTCAAACTGAGCTTGCGCGACCTTGCGCGAAGATGAAATCCTGAGATTTGGTGCATTTTTGCTTGCGCGATGCAGGCACGAAGCTGGTTTCGGACTTGGGTTTCTTGGCTTCTCAGATTCTCGGCTCGCTTGTCCGGTGGCTTCTCGACTTCTAGGCTCCAATCAACGCAGTTCCTATTTTGCCAGCAGTGTAGTCCCTGAATGCCTCCAGTGAGTGTATGGCCTTGAGCCAGGGTACAATCAGTACAGCGGCATGGCTCCCAGTCCGTGCAGTGGTTTTGCTTAGTGTCCCGCTCAGAAAGAGCATAGTAGCTAAATGTAACCAATATGGTGAGTCTACGATCATCTTGCTACCGGTTTCTGCGGGGCATAGTGGCCAGGAACCCCTTTGCTTGCGCGAAGCTTGCGCGAACCTTGCGCAAAATTCAGGATGTGTGAAATCTTCAAGGGTCAAAATTACACGCAACAGCTGCCTCCATGGCCTATTACCATTCAAAATCCATGGCATCCATTCAAAGTCTTGTTTGCTTAAACTGACTATAGCTTTGCAAGCCAGAGGGCCGACATACCAAGCAAACAATGCAACAAGGAAGCAACGGAACTCGTCACCCATCTCGTCTCGTCCCATTATGTTGTGTAACCCTTTTCGTTGTATATTCATTCATTTCTGTTTCAATTATCTACGTGATTTCGGGCTTGCGCGAAGCTTGCGCGTACATGAGCTTGCGCGAAGCTTGTGAAAAGCTTGCGCGCGCGTGACGCCATTCAATTTTTTAAAGAATAAATTCCACCGAATACTAAAATCAATTGCCGGCAGTTTTGAACGTGGCTCACCTGAGACCACCAACCAGGTGTATTTAGACTTGCAATCCAACATCTGATATGTTGGGCAGTCGGCAGTTTTCGATTCCAAACTTCTTCAATCTTGATGTAAGCGTCATGAGAAAGTCACACCAGGTGAACGAGGCTTCAAAGGAATCGACCTGACAACTGAAGAGTTGGTAATCTGTAAATGAAATTACAACAAGTACATACAATAACCATCAATAACCTATTGAACATGGTGCATTTCTATGCAAAGTCTGGCTGAGAAAATCATGTCTCCAACCAGATTGATCACTGACTATGATATACTATTATAATCTGTTAAAAATATTGTATGTTATTATAAATAGTATAATATGTTATTATAAAGTTGTATTAAACTATGTTAATAATATTATATACTGTTATTATATGTTATTATAAAATTGGGTATCCTATGATCCTACGGTATCCCCATCTTTGGAGTGCCAGGATGCCTGGAATTGACCAGAGCTATGGTTGTGAGCAAGAGACGTCTGCAAAAGTTTTCGTCGCATCGAATGCTTCGTGGCAGAGTAGCAGACAGGAATTCGATGTAGGTGATATAACCTTGCTAGAAACGCATTCCATCACATTCCCAATGAATCCGTTCCAACATGTTGAGAAATGGAGCTTGGTGTTTGAAGCAAATGCAAGTACCTGGAGCTTGATAGAAACTTTGTATATCGTTGGATGATTCATGGTTCAACTCGGTTCAACTCCGTTCAACATGTTTTCCTTGATGCTGGAGCTAACGGCAACCTGCCGAGTGGCCATCATCGTCCACGTCCACTCCACTGAAGGCTTGTTCCAGAGCCTCTGGGATGGGCATCCTCCGATCATCGTAGAAGGCTTCAAGGACTTCCATACAAAGTCCGCCACTAGAGGTCCTTGAAACGCTCTAAGTTGGTGGTAGTTACTGGTGCCATCAAGATGGAAATTGGAGGATGCATGGCCCTCCCAAAACAATTATAAAACATATGACTCATATGAACTGTGTTCATTTCCGATCATGGGTTTTTTTCGAGATGTCAAACATTTGCCAACACGACATGAGGGAAAGGGAAAAACAGGAAATCCATCCAGCATCTTGCCAGTCACATCCACGCAGGACAAGGGTACCTGTATATACAAGACACTTCTCCGCAGAAACAACACTTCATAAGTTGCAGAATTTGCATTTTTACAGTTATGTGTAATATGGTTCATATGGGTTTGCCTGAAAATTGGTGAGTTATACTGTTCTAGACCCGTGGGAAACATGTGTTTG